TTTACAAAAGAACAAAATGAACATCAGCTCTGCAGGCTAAAAACCCACCACAGGTGGTCGCTGTGATGTTACGTCAGAAATATAAACAAATAAACAAAACAAATAGGTGCGGATTGTGTTGAAAACCTGCACTAATTAGAAAAACTGTGGCTCAATAGCTACATACCAGCGGTACTCAGCTGCCAACTGTGTGTGAAAACACCAGGTGTCGATCAACACATCTGTCACACCTGGGAATGTGAAACAACAGACAGACTACCTGCTCAGGTGACAAATGATGTCACTTCCTCCAATGAACAGAAAAAAAATAAATGTAATGTATAATAAATGCTTTTTAAAATGCTGCTGATCCTTTATTGGAAGGGTTGAGGTGTTTTGTCTCTCTGGCTGCACTGTGGTTACCTCCTCCAGGTTCAACTATGAGTCAAACTGGCATTACTCCAGTCTTTGGCATGAATTTTTAAAGAACAAGTCACTCCCAAATAAACTTTTTTTGCTGATAAACTAAGTAAATTAGTGTTTAATCGTGCTGTAGACACACATGGTAAATAATTTGGCACTTTAGTGCATCTTAGTTAAAATTTAAACATTCTGCCTAAAACTGTCAGTGTTGCAATCTCTTCAGGTAAAAGCTCTGCACTGCATGTGAATTTAAATCTACCATCGCTATTGGCTAATGGGTACACTATGATGTTAGCTGGTGCATTATGATGTCACAATGTCACTGTGAGCCTGTGTGTGTGTATCTTTTTAGTGGCTTTGCCCTCTCGGTTTGCCAGGCAACAGCATTTCTTGCATTTTTCAAACAGGAAGTGGGAGGGGAGGAAGACTCTGGTAGGGGGTAACTTGCCCTTTAATGTGGTTTATTGCTTTTATGGGCCATTCCCATCTGTACCGGGTCGGCCCGGGCCGGGTAGCCCCAGTCGGCCCCAGCCTGGCCCGGTTGATTCCACACATCCTTGCCTTAAGCCCATGTGGGCTGATTCTACCCACCAATCAGAGGCTTGCTCTAATGGAAGGTGTGAATTTGCTGTCAGCACTGGGTGTGTCGGCCCTGGTCGGCCTGAAGCAGACCCCCTCGAGAAGAGGGCTGAGAATGAGCCTTGGTTGGCCCGGAAAAATACCAGGCCACCCAGATATGTAAACAACCTACGCTACCCGGCCCGGGCCGACCCGGTACAGATGGGAATGGCCCATTAGTTTCTGTCTGTCCAGCTTCTGTGAATGCTGTTGCTCATTTAAACTTCATAGGTTACTTTTGACTTTAAGTGGTTACCAGGGCCGGCTCTGGGTAATTTGGTGCCCAAGGCGAGAGTGCCCATTTGCGCCCCCCCCCCCCCCCCACCTCTCACCCAAACCCAAGTCCACACACTGGAAAAAGCAACTCCACAGTTATTCCTTAGTTACTAATTTTTTATTTTAAATATTCACACAGCAACTCTTTAAAGTCAACAGCCTGAAGAATAAATGTAAGCTTGAAAGATGAGTAACCTGAGAATATTACAATAACCAACAACTCAAAATGTTGTGCAAATGTCATTGGGGGGGGGGGGGTGCAAAATCAAAAGCAACATTAAACTGTGCAATCAAAAGCAAAACTCAAACATCAAAGTGTCATCATAAAGAAAGTTCTACTTTCCATTTTGTTCTACTGCTGTGGCCGGTCAGCAGGATCCACGGGGCCAGCAGCTCACACATGTTCACACACATCTGTTGAAGCTGATGATGGCGTCTCTTCAGGCTGTTGGCTTGGAGCACTGAGTCTGCTGGTGTTGGGTTCTTCTTCTGTGAAAAAATAAACACACACACACACACACACACACACACACACACACACACACACACACACACACACACACACACACACACACACACACACACACACACACACACACACACACAAAGCAACGTAACGCTCTGATGCATGAATTAAGAACAGCGCCACTTTCACGTTCAGTATTCCTCGGCCATGTGCATTGATGCTTTTCACTATTTTTAATATTACTGGACTTTTTATTTTATTGATCTTTTTAAATCTGTTCTATGAAAACATGAATAAAATGATCAAAAACAGGTGGAAGTGAGTGCATCCATGGGGAATATTTGAAAAACGTATGTCTCACTCTCAGGTGTTCTTCAGCATCAAATAAATTGTAGAACATGAGGAAGAAGATCCGGTGATCTGAGGCACTCTGAGGATTTCATTTATTAAACAAGGAAACACCGACGCGTTTCGGTACGACCTTCTTCAGGGCATAAACCTTTCTACCTTGAAGATGACTCACTATGTCACAAAAACTAACGTCCATCCTTTTTTACAAATTTACAGCCTAACTGACAATAACATCTTAAGAAGACGATTTCAGATGTGTAGGTTGAGATTATTTAATATTCTCAATGCTAAATCAATGCTGCACTGATTGTGCCAAAAACACGTGTCTGGTGTGGATTTAAATAAATTAATTTTGCATATCGATATATGTGATAAGCCGTTTAACGTGAAAAAGCCCGTTTCTACTGCTGATTACAAATAGCCTAACAAGTGACTTACTCACCTGGTTCTAGATGCTGAGACTGTAGCCCAGTGCTGCGTGATGCCTGGATGAAGACGCTGCAGCGTAAACAAGAAAGAGACGAAATAAGATGTCATGCTGAGTTTAGGCAGTTCTCACTCCCCGCCGGGCCCGGCGGCAGCGGGGGAGTCACCGCAACGGCGGCGGCGGTGCCGCCCGCCCGATGTGTCGGACAAAGTTGAAAATTTGCTACACCCACACCTAACGTTCTTCTGATATACAAATATTAAATTCATATTGTATGCGTACTTAAAACTTGAAACAAAGTTCATAAAAGGCTGCAATCAAGCTCCAAAAACCAGTAAAAAATCGTACATTCTTCATCATCACAGTGAGACTCAACATTGTCTCACTGCATCTGGGCATGACGATTCAAAAGTAAAATTAATTGGTTAAAGTTACAGATACTGTATTGTGTGTGTAAACAGCTAGCGAGGGTCCGTCCGTGGACCGTGCGTGGCAGGAGAGGCAGTTAGCTACAATGCTAACGCAAAAAGTTCCTTTGCAAAACTTATAAAGTCTACATACCTCTGCTTTGGGCCCGTTTTTATTCTTCTTCCTTCCTTCGCTTTCGGAATGCTGATCCCGATGGCTTAGGCGTTCTTTTCCTCGTAAAATATCAAACGTTTAAACGCGACGGACAACAGGATGTCCTTCACAGTGCCACCCACACACGTGACTATGGCAACCTTAACGGTCAAATGCTTCGGAGCGGTGGCTCAAGCGGGAGCTCGAAATGCAGCCAGATCGTTAGAATTTAAATATTGATGTTTTAATTTGATGTCATTTCAAAGGGGAATTTTGAGTATGTAGAGAGTGCATTTCATATTACAAACATGAATTTAATAAACTTTTTTTTTTTTTTTTGAAATTTTGCACCCTATCCATCAGATGGCGCCCCAGGCGGCCGCCTGTGTCGCCTGTCGACAAAGCCGGCCCTGGTAGTTACTTTTTATTTTTTTTAGGTGTTTAGATTAGGTAGATGTATAAATGTGGACATTTTTATCAAAAGTATTCCTCTCTCTGCTAAATAGCTTAAGGTAACACTGAGCAGTTTTCTGCTCCTCCCGCCTACTGGTTGAAAGTAGAGTTACAAATGTCATAAACAACCCTGCAACAGGCTGCTGTAGCTAATGTTAACAATGGGCTAACACTAACATGCAACAAAACCAAATGGAACATTTTGCCAAGGCACACCAGTTTTATGTTCACGGAACAAAAAACAACACGGTCCCTACTGTGAAACATGAAGGAGGCTCTGTTATATGCTGGGGCTGCTTTGCTGCATCTGGCACAGGATGTCTTGAATCTGTGCAGGGTAACCTGGGTTGGAACCCAAGTTAACATTTTTTTATTTGTGGTTTTTAGTGGTCGAAAGTTACAATACTTGATTATTGCTTATGTGTATATACATGTACCTTTGTTATTCATTTTCTTCAAATTGTTCTCTTACGTGTTGGTGCTGCTGTAACTGGTGAAATTCCCTACTGTTGGATCAATAAAGTCTATTCTATTCTATTCTATTCTAAGAGGAAATCTCAAGACTATCAAGACATTCTAGAGAGAAATGTGCTGGCCAGTGTCAGAAAACTTTGTCTCAGTCACAAATCATGGATCGTGCAGCAGGACAATGACCCAAAACACACAGCTAAAGACACCCAAGAATTGCTAAGAGGAAATCATTGGACTATTCTAAAGTGGCCTTCTATGAGCCCTGACCTCAATCCTGTTGAGCATCTTTGGAAAGAGCTGAAACATGCCATCTGGAAAAGGTGCCCTTCTGGCCTGAGACAACTGGAACAGTTTGCTAATGAGGAGTGGGCGAAAAAATACCTGCCAAGAGGTGCAGAAGTATCATTGACAGCTACGGGAATCGTTTGATTGCAGTGATTGCCTCAAACGGTTGTGCAACAAAAATTAAGGTGGGGTACCATTGTTTTTGTCCAGACCTGTGTCATGAGTTTATTTATCTTTTAATAATTGCATCAAACCATGGTTGAAAAGCAATGTCTGACTTTAAGTGGTTAAATTTCATAGAATTTTTATAAAGTGGGTTTTTCTGTCATTGACCAAAGGGTACCACCAATTTTGTCCACATCTGAATGTACTACATCAAATGAAGGCTTTCAACCCAGTTGAATAGTTCTAAACACCACAGGCAAACAAACTAAAGCAAAAGCATTATCAGCATCCATCATCATCATTTGCTAGTGGGCAGGCGGGATGCAATTTTGATTTTAGCTAATGAGTGTTATTCTTCAAGAATAAAAGATGCTCACTTTGCCCACCAGATTAAACACATGTGCATCTCATAAAATCAGCTATAATGCATCCTTGAATGGAGACGGGTTCGGAAGTGTACCTATGCAAAAACAGGTGTTTTACTTCTATAAGCGATCAGTTTGACAAGACAATAGGAGTAATTACCTTGAATTCGATGCTGTCAGATCAGCCACCAGCCCTCATCAATGAAAGCCTGCAAGAAACAGAAAGAACATGAAAAACCTGAATTACCCATCAGCATTATCCAGTCGAGATGGAGTAGATTTCCATGTGACAGACAATAAACTGTATGGGAGAGTGAGGTAAGTGTTCCTGACATTGTAGGTGTTTGTCTGTATCAAAGCGACATAATGAAACGGAAATGAATAGGATGGGTGGGATTTACATAAAGAAGCCAAGCAGACGTTACTAAAGATAGAAAAGTTGCAATATAGGCTGACATAAAACACATAAATTCATGTGTGAACTGATGCCAGAAAATTGCATTTAGTCATTTTTGATGAATTGGATGATTATACAAAGAAAGGCGTCATTGAACAGAAAAGTTTTGCCTTGGAATGATTGTGGAAAAAAACTAATTATATGAATGTGGATTTCGAAACTGGTTACCTAAAAATGTGATAAAATGGTACAAAATAGCTTTAAACACACTGTTGGCAGAATACCATACCATACCATACCATTTTATTTATAAAGCGCATTCAACATGGCATTACAACCAGACAAGGCGCTGTACATTAAAAGATTACAGTTAAATTAACACGTTCAGAATGACATTTAAAGCATAGTTTATAAGAAAAAATGAAAACAAGAAAATACTCGAACTAACAGTCGTAAAACACTAAAAACGCAAAGGAATGTGAAACAACAGATAAAAACATATGAAAGAACCACAGTAATACAGATGTTAATTATTGTGCATTCTATTGTAGAAAGAATGCAGATGTCGAAAGTGGTCCATGATTATGTATTATATGCAAGGTTGAAGTAGTGAGTTTTCATGCGAGATTTAAAAATGCTAATTGTTGGTGCTTGCCTCACTAGTAGTGGTAATGCATTCCACAGCTTGGGAGCACAGACAGAGAAAGCCCTTTCTCCACGGCTTTTCAGACGTGCGTTTGGAAGAGCTAGGAGGAGCTTATCCTCAGACCTGAGAGCACGAGGCGGATTGTAGTAATGGACGAGTTGACACAGATATGGAGGAGCTTGACTGTTCAGGGATTTATAAGTGAGCAGCATGATTTTGAAATTGATCCTGAGATGAACGGGCAACCAGTGGAGAGATTTTAGAATTGGTGTAATGTGCTGTCTTCTGTCAACTCCAGTCAGGAACCTAGCTGCTGAATTCTGGACTAGCTGAAGTCTAGATTGAGCTGCTTTACTGATGCCGTATAAGCAGGAGTTGGAGTAATCCAGCCGTGAAGTGATGAAAGTGTGGACTACTGATTTGAGAAGACGGACACTCAGGATGTGCTTAAGTTTAGAGATACGCCTGAGGTGGTAAAAACATGATTTAACTGTGTTATTGACCTGAGCATCCATCTTCAGAGCCTGGTCTATTTTAACTCCAAGGTTGGAAATTACAGTGGAGACATTAGGTGAGAGATAGTTGAGGTCAGGTTGAAGAGTAGCCGGGATGCTGTGAGGATTAAAAACGATTACTTCTGTTTTGGAGTCATTCAGATGGAGGAAGTTATCAGCAAGCCAAAGCTTAACATTATCGATACAATCAGACAGAACTTGCATTGATTGAGTTGGCTTGAATGAAAAGTAGATCTGACAGTCATCAGCGTAAAGATGGTATGAGACAGCGTGCCTTCTGAAAATGGCTCCTAAGGGCAGTATATAGAGGTTAAATAGTAACGGGCCGAGTATTGAACCTTGTGGGACACCCCAACGGAGTGGTTGTGACTCGGATGAACAGCCATCCAACATGACTCTAGCGGACCTGTTATAAAAGTATGACCTGAACCAATCTAGGGCTGAACCAGAAATGCCAGCCCAAGTCTGAAGTCTGGTGATCAAGATGTTATGATCGATCGTGTCAAATGCTGCTGATAGATCCAAAAGTAGCAGAACCACATGGAAACCTGAATCTAAAGCGAGAAAAATGTCATTAAACACCCGAACATGAGCAGTTTCAGTGCTGTGCTGTTTTCTGAAACCAGACTGAAAAATGTCCATTACCTGATTGTCATTTAGATGTGTCAGCATCTGTTCATACACTATTTTCTCAAGGACCTTAGATAAAAACGGTAATTTGGAAATTGGTCGGAGATTAGAGTAATCAGTGGGGTCGAGACCAGGTTTTTTCAAGATTGGCTGAAGAACGGCATGTTTAAAGGCAGAAGGAACTTCAGCCAATGTCAAGCTACTATTTAAGATGTCTAGCACATTATGGCTAATGAAAGGAAAAACCTCTTTCAGGAGACGTGGTGGGATAACATCTTCTGGGGAGCCAGACGGTTTCATGGCAGCAACAGTTTTTTCTAGATAGGGCAGAGAGATGGGCTGAAAGCTTTGAAGTTGCACATGAGGGGGAATGACTGAATCAGGAACATGGTTGGTTTGGTGAATCTGAGCTCTGATTACACTAATCTTATTTAAGAAAAACTGCAGGATTTGGTTACACAAGTCAGCAGACGCAGAGGAAAATAGTTTTGTAACTGGTGAAAGCACTGCATTCATAGTTTTATATAACACACCTTGATTATTAGAATTAGCCGTTACAATGCTTGCAAAAAATCGATTTCTTGCGCCTCTGACTGCTCTTTGGTACTGAGACCACGCCTCTCTCATGGATTCAAAGGATACAGTAAGCCTGTCTTTTATCCATTTACGTTCCAGTCTTCTGGCATGTTGTCTCATGGAACGAGTTTGCTCGTTCAGCCATGGGTCAGGTCGGGATGTATTTCGCCTTGATTTTAATGGAGCGACAATATCCAAAGCAGCCAGACAGGATGAATCAAGCGCATGAAGGAATATGCATGTGATTGTGACATCTTCTCACTAATCATTTTGACACAGGTTATTACGGCAAAAGTGTCACCAGTTATTACTCTAGATTCATCCCAGTCATTCTGTGGGAAGAGCATTGTTGTTTATAGTGAAAACTTTTATGCAGTTCAGATCAAATGATTAATTCATAATGCAACCCCAAGAGAAATGCACACTAAGTGGCCTATTGAAAGTCTACTGAAGTTCATAGTAGAATGTGTTTTTTTAATAATACAATATTAACAGAAACATGGCTACAAAAAGGAAACCTGTGTTGTGTTTTGGACTCATAAACAGACGTGTTCCTGTGCAAACACCAACGAGCTACAGACTTGGGATTTTCTTTGTGAGTGGGTTTGGAATCAAAATTAGACATTAGTTGTATGACACCCATGGAGTTACCATGAAGCAGAAAACCTAGTTGTTAGAGGGTAAGGATCGACTGAGTCCTTGTTAGAATCACTGATTAGCCATCAGTCAACCGTGTGTTGGGTAATTCATCAAGAAAACTGAGTGGAAGTAGGTGCAGACTTCATTTGTCTGTCTTCTGTGGACTTTGATGTGGTGTAATCTACTGAAAGAAAAACACGGTGAAACCATAGAACCATTTATGTACAGATTATGTACAGAAGATATAAAGACACACACACACACGCACGCACGCCCGCACGCACACACACACACACACTTACATTGACAGGCAATTTGTTACAATTACTGGGCCTGGATTATGACCTTGATAATACATCAGTTGTGTTAGAGCACACGTCAGTAAAGACTCTGAGAGGTGTGTGTGTGCGTAGCTGTTCAGTGTGTCTATGTGTGTCTATCCTGCTGTTCGCCTTGTTTTGACTTTGTATTTGGAAGATTGAGAAGTCTTAGAACGAGAGTTGGACTAATTAAAAATGGAATATCAATTCTTGGAAAAAGCTGTTCATGCAAGCTACATTTAGCATTTCTAAGGTCCAACATCTTCCTTTAGGGCCCCCACTAAAATCACATAATCTGATGGTTCCAGAAAATGGTATAATGCCGGCACATGCACATGCACAGATTAGATGCAGTTCACAGACCACACACATACCTGCTTTGTGGTTGTTGGCTATAATGTTAGCGGCTAGCATTTTAAGTTCACTGACCGTCAATAAAATCACAAGAAGAAGAATAAGAAGTTTGTTTATTCGTTGGCATCATGGCGATCACCTGGAAGTAAAAGTAACAAACTGATGGTGACCTGGCTTTGTTGCTACTGGACTTGTAAGTTGTCCAACAGTGTGGATCTTTTTACTTTGTGGTTTATTTTAGTATTAGTTGGTTCATGTTAGTGTCAGTTCGTCACTAGCGCTAGCTACAGCAGGCTGCTACAGGTTGTTTACTACAGTAGTAACTTGACTTTTAACCCGTAGGGAAGAGGAGAAGGCATCTGCTCTGTTACTTTAAGGACAGGACACTCATAATGATTGGTTGACATTTTTTCAGGATTGTAAGGCTCAGATAAAAATGAATTAATGATTCATTTTCTGACAAAACATTTAATTTATTGGTTGCCATCACTATTTAAAGAGCATTTCAGGCAATGTAGTAAAAATCCTTCAGAAAAAAGAAATTTAAGTCTTATCTTTAAAAATTATGCAAATGGTTGCATTAGTTTGTCAGTAAAGTTATTAAGTGGGACTGAGAATTCTACTGACTCACTTGCATGCAAACATGGTAAAATATCCCAATATAAAATAAAAATATACAAATAATTGTATTAGAAAAGTATATTTTTCAACACACAGCAGCAAGGTGAAAAATGATGGATGGATGGAAAATTTATTTTTTACCTTTTTAATCATTTTAGTGTCTCATTTGTTGCTACTTCAATGTGGACAAAATAAATAATAGCTGATGGGATGTTCTTGTTCAATTGCGCTAAACCACCTTCAGCTGAGGTTGCTTTCCCTGCAGCAGGAGAACATCTGAGTCAGTCAGTCTCTAGCTGATAAATGAAGCAGCTCATCTTTGTTGACGGTTTAAATTAGAGCCCTTTAGTCCACAGTTCTGTGGGCACTTTGTTAACTCCTTAACACAGACACCACTAGTGTGTTTCAGCCACAGAAGATTTTCAGAATGCTTTCTTTGAAGGCCCAAACAGAAAAAAAAGTGAAGAGAAAGTACCTGAGATAGGAGTTTTGCTTGATTGAGTTAACACTT